CGGAATTTAAATTTTGAATGAAGTGCCACGGAGATTGTTGAACGTCTAACATGAATTGTGCAACATTCATATTTTTAAGATCCCGATATTTAATAAGCTTTGCTTTGGGCTTAGGAGATTTGATTGAGTACACACAGAAAAAAAGGTCATGTTTGGATATTGAAGGGACTGGAAGCTGCCCATGGTGAATGATATCTTGATGATTGGACACTACGATTAGATCTAAGAGGGTATCAGAATTGGCAACATGATGTGTGGGATCGAGTGGAAGTACAGTTAGGTTACATGATTCAAACAAAGTAGTCAGCTGTCTGTGTTCAAAGTTATGAGTCGACGATAGTAAGTCAGTGTTGAAATCACCCATGATCAAAACATGACTGTATCTGAACATTTCATTAAGCAAGGCATTTTCAAAATTGAGCAGATGCCCTGATCTTGGTAGGCGGTAGCACACTCCTAGTAACAGCGCATCTGCTCCAGATAAACTAATCTCAATTAATAGGAATTCTGGCCCAGCCGAGTACTCCGATGGTGAAGAAAATATAGTTTTGAACTTTAAATCCTCCCTGATATACACCGCAACGCCACCGCCCTGTTTACCAATCCTATCATTTCGCTGCAGCACAATGATAGGATTGGTAAACAGGGCGGTGGCGTTGCGGTGTATATCAGGGAGGATTTAAAGTTCAAAACTATATTTTCTTCACCATCGGAGTGAACCTTTTTGGTGCAGTAGTTTTAGAGCCATCTCCCTGTTTCTTCTTTTAAGATTTATTGCAACTTCCAACCACACTCACTTCACTATTCTCGTCGTTTGCTACAACATTCACACTCACTTCACAATCAGAAGACATTGTTCACCAAAAGAATACTGAGGAAAACAACACACAATGATGTGACCGGCAGAGATGAACGCACTTCCACGAGTGATGATCTACTACTGATGTGTGGCAGCGGGCGACTGGCTGCCCAATGTAATAAGATCCTTACTGGTACAGTTGAGATGTCATCTTCCGGTATTGATACTATAGTGGGATCGTATAGCTGCATGTGATGGCAGAATATTTCAGTTCTGGCAGAGAGGCTGCAATTTTAGGTGGTTATAGTATACAAGTTTCTGAACCAAAAACCGCCCAGACCCCAATTTTTAAGGACCTCGGTCGTCCGTAATGACGTCATAAAAATGGTGGCCGTAAGAGGATGCTGGGTCCCCATGAATTGGCTATAATGACCGAATGCCTGAACCGATTTTCATGAAATTTGGCACACAAGTGCTTGAATACATTATCTCGGCCTGGGTTCAAAATGGTCAAGTTTCATCAAGTCATTTCAAAATGGCGGCTGTTAAAAACTAAAAAAAATATGAGGAAAATAATTGTGAATTGTTTTATACAGGGTGAGTTTCAAATGAGTTCCCCCCTACTTTTTTATACATTTCTTAAGATATCAACTCCGAACCAGGTCAGATAATTGTAGAGTAGCGAGTACTTCATTTTGACTGGGTTTTATTTTATCCGTTTTATCTCTGATCCAAGATGGTGGCCAAAAATTTAAACCCAGTCAAAATGAAGTACTTGCTACACTAGAATGATCTGATAATATGGTTTAAAGTTGATATCTTAAGAAATGTATAAAAAAGTAGGGGGAAACTCATTTGAAACTCAACCTGTATAAAAGAATTCACAATTATTTTCCTCATATTTTTTTTAGTTTTCAACAGCCGCCATTTTGAGAAAATCGGTTTAGGCATTCGGTCGTTATAGCCAATTCATGGGGACCCAGCATCCTCTTACGGCCACCATTTTGATGATGTCATTACGGACGACCGAGGTCCTTAAAAATTGGGGTCTGGGCGGTTTTAGGTTCAGAAACTTGTATACTATAACCACCTAAAATCGCAGCCTCTCTGCCAGAACTGAAATATTTTCCTGCTACCCAACCTGACTACTAGAGGTTCACCAGTTAGAAAATGCCCAGGAGTAAGTGCTGATAAATCTGAGGGGTCGGCAGAGAGTGCACATAATGGTCTTGAATTTAACATGGCTTCAACTCTAGTTGTGAGCGTAGTAAACTCCGTATAAGTAAGGACTGAAGAACCAATTAGTCTGTAGATATGGTATTTAGCACTTTTTATCGCTGACTCCCATAACCCACCATGATGAGGTGAAGCAGGAGGATTAAAATTAAAATTTAAACCATGTTCGATGCAAAACTTAGTTATAGAATTTTGAGATTCTTTAGATTTGAGGTTCTTGATTATTTTCTGCAGTTCAATATTAGCTCCGATGAAATTGGAACCACAGTCAGAGTAAATGTGATTAAATGTGATTGTTGAGATGGATCCTTTCAGGTTATCCTAGCCTGAACAACTGGGTTAGTAACTTAGCTTGACTTGGTTGTTCATCCATGTTTTGTTTATTCACACTAATAATGGATAAGCTAAGTGTATTTACGGAATGGTCCGCAAAATTATATGTTTGGGATCGATTTACATTGACCAAAGAATACTCTCAGAGCATAGTGATAAAGTTCCCCGAGCAAAGCTCGGTCACCAGGTACTGTACATTTAAACAGTTCACAGGCAAAATTTTCAATGTCCCAATATTGTCACCTTTGCTTTGATATTGAGGCAGGTATAGTATACACTTAAATTTACATTAAGGTTAAACCAAGTGTAGGTCGGTGAATGGTATCTATAATATTAAAACGAAACAGTGTTTTTTTATTTCACGATTCTGGATCAACCACGCGACGGATTTTAATGATTTTTGTGTTGAAAGAAAGATAATTTTTAAAGCTAGGGAATGTCGAAGCCATAATTTTAGTTTAGGGTCCCAGTTTTTTAGAAATTAAGTTTTAATTTTTAAAAAGTCTAGCAGCCGACGCTAAGATTCTAAACTAGCTTTTGGCATAAAATAATTTGCTTAACATAACAGCTGTAAACATTCAGCTTTTGTGTCACAAATTCAGCCTTTGGATAAAAATGTAAAGACATACTTAGGGTTGACTATTTATACTATGTGTAATGCTAATCATTGATACGTTCAATTCTTCTGTAAGAGGATGACAGATTAATTAAATGTACATAGTAAAATACTAGGATGTTCAAATTGTTTTTTAAAGCAATCTTCGATTTGTTTTAGAGCAATATAATTTGTTTTAACTAACAGCTGGTTAAATATAAACTATGGAAGTATGAGGTTATTTTATTTACTCTTATTTTGTCATTGATTATAGGAAATAAGTAAGATTAGTAGAGATAATTAGACCTCAGATTAAACCACAGTTTTAACCAAAATTAATTAAACCACAGTACAAATCGAGGCTCTGTACACGAGTCTTAATAAAAAAGGATAAATGCAAATTATTTTACTGCTCCACTTTTCAAGGAAAGATTAGAAAAATAACAATGTTTACATGTCTTAATTCTTAATGGTAGCTTTTTGTTTACAATTAATGTTTGTTTGCTTTAACTTTGTTTGGATTAGGCCCGGAAATATTGATGTCATAAAAAGAAGATCAAGAATAATCAGGAATCACGATTTTAAATTACCTCCACAACCTCAGCCGGGTTTTATACAAAGATAAACAGATGGATGACATAGATTGAACACAACGTCAACATTGACCTAGGATACCTACTGCAATTAGACAAACCATCCTTTTATGAAATCGTGTTCAGTTGTGGTTACGTTTAGGGGCGCCTATATCAGCGCCACTTTTATTTCAACTATGAATATATTGTAGTTTAAATTAACTAATATGGGAAATTACGATGTACGTTTATTCAATGAGGGTGGGTATTATCAAGGATAGAACTGATAACGGTATGGATAATAAACATTGACAATTACGTCATTAGCTATACTAGCACTAGCGTGTTTACTTTTTAAATTCCTGCTACGTGTGACCAGTTATTTTTTCAAATGAATGCTATTTGAACCAAACAGCTGTTTCAAAACAAACTGTTATTGTTTTTACTTTTCTTTGTTTACACTTATTTATTTAGCAATTAATGCAGTGAAATTGATATAAAGGATAGGTGTGACGATTAGTTTTGATGTTAGGACACCAAAGTTAAATTATGTGTACTGTGAATTTTATTGGATATTATCGTTTTATTTTAGGTCGTTTCTATTCAGACCTACTGGAAATTGTGCATAGTAGTTGTATTTTGGTGATAGTAATTATGGAAGAGGCAGGTATGCTATGGAAGGTGGTATTGTTGACTAGGTCTATACACTTCTCAATTGACTATTATTCTCTCTACCGCAGGCTACTCATAATCAGTGTGCGTCTGTGCGAATCGGCTGCAAATCTCACTTAAACGCTTTTCACATCGTAAAAATTGCAGAATTGCTGTTTTATTGTAAAATTATCGGATTTAAAATGCATATCGCATAGGCCAATGATGGAATAAAAACATATTTGGTCACACAACATTTGTTTACAAGATGGTTTTTCACATTAAAACTGCAAGAAACTTTGCCTTAACTGACTACTGAATTCCCGTACGTAGGACGGGCTAACACCTCGTTTTTTATTAAGTCAACTGAAGTAACAAAGCCAAACTAGGTAAACAAATAGGTAACACTGTTTACTAGTCTTAATAATAATAATAACAGCCCTGCAAAAAATATTACAATGTCAAATAAAAAAAAATGGTCTTATAAAAAACTTATTGGTATATTACATGAAATTTAATATAGAAGATTTGTTTAATGTTTATACCTTTCTTCACCAACGTACATAGACCAAAGACCACAACATGTTAATTAAAGTAATCTCTGATATATTAAGTGTGTTTATGGTTCAAAAGTATAACATGACCTTTAAGGTTTTATACAAAATCCAGGCGTTCAAATTAAATGTAGCTTAATTCAATTGCTAAACCCCGTAAACATAGTAGCAGTGAAATTTAAAATGGTTCAATCAAATGATAATTGTTTGCGTCATCTATCTTGTAGTAAATATTCCATGTAATGATTTGTATTTTTCAGGAAGTTTCCTCAGATCTAGAGGAGAGCAAATATCAGAACGCAGAGTTGAGGTTGAGTGTGTATGGTAAGAGTATTGATGAGTGGGACAAGTTGGCCAAATGGGCAACAACCAACAACGTCTACAGTGACAATGTCCGTTGGCTCATACAGATCCCTCGGCTCTACGACATCTTCAGAACCAACAAGTTGATGAACAACTTCCAAGAACTTCTCACCAACATATTCCTACCACTTTTTGAAGTCACCAATGACCCAGCCAGCCACCCAGATTTGCATCAGTTCTTGCAATATGTAAGTAAAGTAACTAAACACTCAAAAGGACTGTGTGAAATTTAAGAAGTGTGTTGAAGTCACTTACAATTATTTAATTTTATACCAAGGAATTAGTGTTGTGTACTGGTTTATTTATGCACAGCAGAACCCCTCATATCCAACCTCAGTGTGTAAGTTGGACTGTTGCCGTGTGTAGGTGATTGGGTTCGACAGTGTGGATGACGAGAGCAAGCCAGAGAACCCTCTGTTTGACAAGGATGTGACCACACCCGACCAATGGGATGACGTGGAGAACCCTCCCTACGCCTACTACCAGTACTACACCTATGCCAACATGACTGTTCTTAACCACTTCCGCACGTACGTAATTCCCTATAATAAGGCTCTTTATAATCTTATTCCATATTTTCAATCATTTGTAGGTAACTTTAAAACTATTGTACCACATTGAGTTGAAGGTCAGATGGCTTGGAGTGTGGACGTACTGAGTGAGCACTATACCGGTTGTCGTTATTTACTTGTGTGCTAACTGTTCTGTGGCAAATAATGTTATAAACGTTCATCTAAATTATTTTATTTGAGTGTAATAGTGTTTCAAGAGAGTTTTTTCTTTTACATTCTATAGAGTATTTCATTGATGGCCAAACAGTAGTATAGACTGAATGGACTGTGAGAAGGCATGCCACGGCATTTGTGTAAATATGACCAAAGATGATGAAGAATGTTTATTATCACAAGACAGTCTTGGCGCTGCCCACCTTGCTCCAAGGCCCTTAGCTCTCCTGATAAGAGTAAGAATGACATTTTGCACGATATGCTAAAAGAAGCTGAGGAGTAAAGGGCAAGAATGGATTTGAAAATAAATTAGTATTTTGTTCACAAATTGATAAGAGGATCTGCACTATCCATAAAATGTTAAAAATAGTAAAATGTTGGCTGTGGTTGTACTGAAAGAGCAAAACAAGCAATTAGCAGATATCTTGATCATAATCCAGGGCCTACAGAAAAAAACCAACAGCTACATAAGAGAGTTGAGGAGCTGGAGATGAGGCTAAATGATACCAAGCAGTACCAAAGAGCAATTCTGTAGAGATAACCTCAACCAGAATGGCCATAAGTGATAAAACTAAATACATTCAATTCTCCTTGAGGAACCAATGTAGCAAATCAAAAATTACTCTATAAATTTGTAGACTGTCTACAGGTATTAACAGCATCTTGTAGGGGTTGTATGGACATTCAGAAAGTTAAATACTTTAAATATCTTGGTCTCACAGGGGAGGAAACCCTTAGGTGGAAGCCCAACAAACACATTCTAGAGAAATATCTGTACTCTTGCCTAAGGAAATTTTATTTATTTAAGTCTTGCTGTCCTCGGTCTATTCTAAGAACCGGAAAATTTCCTTTAGTGGATTCCAAACTGCATATGGCATTTATGTTTATGTTGGGGGTGTATTTACCTTTCCAGTATTATTTACTTGATTTTAGCTCCAAAAAATTATGGTAAGGTTGATTATTTGTGACCAATAAGACCATTATTTGTATTCAGAGTTCTACGAATTGTTTTCATTAGATCTTGCCTTGTGTTATGAAATCAACAATTTTATTCTGATAGTTGCACATCCTTAAATGAGGTTTTTAGACGGGTTTTCTAGTTTTCTAGCTCCAAAGTTATTTAGCCTTACAAAATATATTTGTTCAAGTGCTAATTCTAAAATATCTGTCAATAAGTTAAAAAAGTGACGAAGTGACTGTTTATTTTTCCTCAATTTGAAACATTTTTTCCCTAGTTCTTCTAAAGGGAAGTATTCTTGTTTTGTTATATTTCTGTGCTGCAGTTTATTGTTACTATTTATTTATCATTTTAATTATCTACTATTGTACATGTTGCTCGAATTTGAGAAATTTCTAAGTATTACAGGAATTATTTCAAGAAGAATAACAGTCATAAGTTTCAATGAGTTTAAAAGAGTCAACTCAAAGATTATGTAACTAATGAAAAACAGTTAGATATAATCAACATTTTTTGTAAATATTTTATTATTTTTCAAAAGCTGAGCTTGTTTTTTAGTGTTTCCTACAAATGTTTCCTGGCTTCCTGATAGCCTAGGTTGTCCATGTTTATCTTGTACCACTATTGTTGCAATTATGTTTAGAAATGTCAGTCATTTTAATTTCTCCCCCCATACCATAGTATTTTTTTTTTGTTTGTTTTTTAACAGAGGGCCAGGCTTACAAGTTACCATGGGATTGCATCGCAGCTAGAACAGCTTATTGTGCACCCTCGTTCACAGGGTCCTCATTCTCCGTCAAATCCCAGGTCCTTGGTGAACTGTGAGAGCCTTTTGGCTATGGTGACCTGTTCTTCCCTTTAATCTCCCATCAATAGGCTAAGGGATCTCATACGCAGACCTTTTAGGGCTGGGCACATAAATATACCTTCACAGCTTTCACAAGGTCTCTGGCTGGGGCAAGCCGTAGCGAGATTTCCCTGAAAGAACTCAGCTCTTGAACTTGCTTGACCAGCCAATCCTTTGTGGCTGCGTTAGCACATTCTCAACCTTTCTTCCTGGAGGCTTCATTAGAGTCAGCTTAGGGGGTACCACCCGTGCCCTGCTTTTTCCCAGCATCCTAGTTCCGGGAGGAACTGGCTTTGCAGGGAGCAGAGTTAGGGTGCTTGGCAGCCAACACCAGCCTCCTCTCACTTCTGGATAGCACCTTTTTGCCTTTGGCTAAAGCATCCGCTATCCTCCGTCTTTGCAACTCACCCCTGGAAAGTCGTTTTTCGTACGAGGGATCTCATACGCAGACCTTGTAGGGCTGGGCACATAAATATACCTTCACAGCTTTCACAAGGTCTCTGGCTGGGGCAAGCCGTAGCGAGATTTCCCTGAAAGGACTCAGCTCCTGAACTTGCTTGACCAGCCAATCCCCTGGAAAGTCGTTTTAAGTTCCTTTCCGGTTTCTGTGAGCTTGTCGTCATCTTCAGATTTCAGTAGACCTTCCTCCTCCATTTGGGTCAGATTGTCTACATTGTTCTCACGAGTACCGGGTATTTAAGTCCACCTCCCCATTGACCCGATTAGAGAGGTAAGGGGTGTGTACGACTGGGTTACCCCTGGTTCCCAGAAGGCTCCGTTAAGACACTGAATATTAGGCCCCCAGTGCCACAAGACTCTTGGCACGGATCGCATTACACCTTAGTCTAGGGCCCCCCTCACTTGGTTCTGTAGGTGGACCAACACCCAGTGGCAGAAGGTAGCTCTCCGCAGCTAACAAGTGAGAGTTAAGGTTTAGGTTGTGGCCAATCTGCCGAACCAACCCCGCATGTGAGGTTTGGCCGGAACGGCGCGAAATTTTCTCCCACTCACTAAACCCCCATACCTTCCCATACCATAGTATATGGAGAAAGTATTGTTTTCGTCAAAATTTTCGAGTTTGAGTTTTGAGTGGATATATTCTTTTTGGGCCCCCTGGACCAAAAAAAGTGGTTTTCGAAGTGATGTCTGTGTGTGTGTGTGTGTGTGTCTGTGTGTCTGGATGTGTACAGAGCTAGGGACTACACCTGTGGTCCGATTTCGATGAAATTTGGTATGTAGGTTCTAATCCATGGTATCTCCAGGAGTTTTTTTCATTTTTTTGAAATATTTAGACGGGATTTTTCCATAAAAAACCGGAAAAATCGGATTTTCTCGAAAATGGCCCCAACGATTTTGATAAAAATTTAGTATGTTGTAGCCCTTTAAATTCTGAACAAAATGGTTCAAATTCCATTTCTGTAAAAATTACGGTTCAAAAGTAATGGTAAATTATGTTATTTTCCCATAAAAACCCCATAAAATAACGAAAATAGGATTTTAGAAAAAAATCCTGTTTTAATTTAACATAGTATGTTATGGTCCTTAATGTTTTGATAGTTTTTTTCATTTTAAAAAAAATTTGATTTTTAATGGGAATTTCCCCATAAAACCCCATAAAATAACGGAAAAATAGGATTTTCCCAAAAATGGCCCAAACGATTTTGATAAAAATTTGGTACGTTAAAGTCCTTTATATTCTGAACAAAATGGTACGAATCCCATTTCTGTAAAAATTACGGTTCAAAAGTTATTGTAAATTATGTTATTTTCCCATAAAAACCCCATAAAATAAATAACGGAAAAATCGGATTTTCGCAAAAATGGCCCGAACGATTATGATACAAATTTAGTTTGTAGTCCTTTAAATTCTGAACAAAATTGTACTAATCCCATTTCCGTATATTTACTCTCACCGCTTACACATGATAAAGGTTGTTGACAAACTTATGGAAGAAAGTATGTGTCAGAATGCTGATACCGTTTATTTTAAATAGCGATAACACTTGTTCACATTACTTAAGGACCTTCCTGCATAAACTGTCTGTCACAATTTTATTTGCTTCAATTTGCATTCTTTTGGTTAGTTGGTGTAATAATGTCAATTATTTACCTGAGAAAATGCAGAGTTAAAAGGCCTAATGTTGTTCAGGTGGGTGTTTGTTTCCCTTAAACTGTGAATAATAATTGAATCCTTCAATAACAGTTTTAGTAAAGGTTTCTTGGATGTAGTGATATTCTTTTAAAATCACTTGACTTTTATTGAAACATAGATTGTCCTCGACGTGCCAGTTTTATTTATCCTTAGAGGGCTTTCCTCTGCAATCATCCCAAAGTAAATTCCATGTTATTTTTCCTACTAAAAATGGTAGTATTTTGACTAAAATACTCGTTTATCGCTTGTTGGAATCTTCTTCTTGTAGGTGTTCTTCATATAGGCTAACGATAATAAATTAAAAATAATAATTCCTTTATAAACCTGATAGAAGGTTCATCTGTCTACTCTCAACATGTTTCACACGAGGGCGTGTGTTGCAGGGAGCAAGGGTTGAACACTTTTGTGCTGCGGCCTCACTGTGGAGAAGCTGGCCCTGTACAACACCTGGTGTGTGGATTCATGATGGCAGAGAATATCTCCCATGGTCTTCTCCTACGTAAAGTAACTATCACACCATTAACATTACTTTCACCCTCTGATGGAAAACAATATGTAATCAAATCTACAATTGTAGCATAAATTACTTGAATGTTTGTTAGACAATAGACAATAGACAATAGACAATAGACAAATTCTTTATTCCTTCAACAATATACACATATTGTAATAGACATCGTCAAACTTAACAAGCAATAACAAAATATCAAGGCAACAAATATTTGTTCTGCCAAAAGATACATATAATACATAAATAAATGTCACAAAAATACAATATCTAATCTGTCTACAATAAGGTCATCTTAACAATGCAACAAAAACTCATATTTCATAAATTCATCTATGTCATAAAAAGGATTTTTTACTAGCCAGGAATACAATACTTTTGCAAATTTTCTTTCTGATAAATTCAGCCAGGCTTTTGGTAACTTGTTAAAGAACTTAAGATCTAAATAACTATGGTAACTCTTTGTTTTGGTTAATCTACATTTTGGTAACTGTAGGAGATGTCTATCTCTTGTTTCATAGTCATGAAATATGGCTCTTTTAGGCAACGATGGATAGTTTTTCTTTACCAACATCAGAACATCATATATATAAAGATTAACAAAGGTTAAAACATTAGCTTCTACAAATAATGGTCGACAATGTTCTGACGGTATAGCATTCATTATTATTCTAATTGCTTTTTTTTGTAAGATTAAAATTCTATCCATGCCTATACCACTTCCCCAAACTGTCAGGCCATATCTTAAAATACTTTCAAAAAAGGAAAAATAAGACATCCTTAAACACACCTTAGTTACTTGTCTTTTTAAATTAATCAGTAAATATATTATTCTACATAACCTTTTACAAACAATATCAATCTGATTTTTCCTTGAAAGACTAGCATCAATACTTATACCTAACAATGTTACAGCCTTATTTACATCATATAAATTACCTTTTTTTAAAGAAACTATCAAATTTTGTGTTTTTCCTTCATTTAAAAACAAACCATTAGCTTCAAACCAACTCTTTGCGTCCAGGAGGGCTTCTTCTGACAAATATTCTAAGTGCTACTAAGAAGGGAAGTATCGTCTGCATATATTGTAGTATGTGAGGCAAAATTCTAGGGGGGGAATAAACTAGTATTCACCAAGTCAGGCTAGGCCTACCCCTAGAACTGGCCACACTCAAATTTCTTCCCCGGAGTGCTCAGAAGGAGCCGAGAAAAATCCAGGGGTCGATACGAAGTTGTCACGGCTTTGACTGATCAATTTATTAAAAATTTAATCGAAGGCTCAGAGCTCTAGAAGCGCTCAGGAAATCCTGCAGACGCCCAGTTGGAGCTATATCATCCCAGCCTTCGCTAACGTGTTGTGGAGAATTTTTCCTAACTTTTTGAATGACTCTGTAGGGCCGACGAGTATTCAATCTGAAGCCAATGTGATTCAATTACTCGTAATGAACTTTAAAATAATTAACTAAAGGCCTAGGTAAATAATATAAAATCGAATATAATGTAAAACCCAATCCCTACAGAGTCGTCGGGGCCTAATTAATATAATTGGACGGATAATTTAACGTGAGTGGTTTAAAATAAATTTAATACTAATTTTTGTAGCTGATTATTCAACTCAGCCTGCTCCCAAGACTCGATTCTTTCACCCGCCAAAGACGGGGTTTAGAACTCAGACGACGAGTCTCGGGGTATTAAAACGTCGAATTAACTGGAGTAACTTAAGTAATAATTTAATCGTGAAAGGAACTGAATTAACGTAATTTAATAGCCAATTGGTTTAAAAGAGCCGAAAAATATCCACCGCTAGTCACTGGCAGGCAGGAACTGGCGGGTTTTGTACGAGTCGGCAAGAACTAAGTTAATAAAATTTAGAAAATTATAATCAAACGTAAACGGATAAAATAAATGGCAGACGAGTGTGCGTATGTTAGAAAAAGAATATTTAAAAGAAAGTAGGAAAGTCTGAAAACGTAGCTAACCTGAATCAATATCGTATGGCGAAGTTAGTTTCGTTGCGCGAAGAGGCTTCTCGTGAACGAGTTGACGGTCGAACAGCGAATAATTCTTGTCCGGCTCAAATCCCGATTTCCTCGGCCGCGGCTCAAGCGCTGCGGTGGCGATTTCGGAAACTAGCCAACAGCTAATCGGGGATTCGCCTGTTGAGCCGGTCTAGTTGTCGTCTGTCGTTGGTCAACAATAGTATATTACGTTACTAGTCCTGAAAATAAGTGTTTACCGGACGAGTGTGGTCGTTCCCGTGCGAGACGAAGTCGAGTACGGGATTACCATACGAGTCCGGTACACACATTTTGGACGAGTTACGTACGATAGTTTACGCCATACTACTTAATCCGTACAAATCCTTATATATTTCCACCAACTAAAGGACTAAAAATCACTAGTCATAACCTCTAAGAGAGGTTATAACCACTCATTGCCACGAAAATACAGTATAATCAGCTGATTGGTGTCCGGTAAAACTCATTGCAGAACAGTAGTACGCAATGAAACCCCATTTGAATAAGCTGGCGGCAAACAGCTGTTTTCTGGACTAAATCCTTGCGTGGGAAGTTCGTCAAAATAATGTAGTGTGGCGTAAACACCATTTCGAGGTTAAGTGATGTTGTAATCGGCGTTAAATATTCGTAAAATCGGTCGTTTTAACTTTATTATGTGAAACGAAGTGCTATTATGAATAAGTATATCGTTGTGGGTGTGTTTGTGTACTTCACTGTTATTAAAAGTAGGCCTACGTTCTTTGGCCCATAGCCCAAGCTATGGCCAACACATAGGCCTAGGAGTAGGATGTTGTGGATAAAAATCGGGTAAGCTATGGTGTTTGTTGACTATCAATACGTTTTTTTACCCCCCTTAAAATTTGGTACCTCACAAGTGAAACTAAAATTGTTAAAACTAAAATCATTTATCAAAATTATAAAAAGTATTGGCCCCAATACAGATCCCTGTGGTACACCTGATAAAACATCTAAAATCTGGGAACAAACACCTCCTACATCTACGATCTGCTTTCTATGTCTCAAATATGACTCCAACAATTTCAACTCTTTACCATCAAAACCATAGTATTTTAACTTGGCAAGTAATATGTCATGATTTACCGTGTCAAATGCCTTCGTTAAATCACACAGTGTAATCTGAGCAGAACGGCATTCTTCTAAGGCTCTAAGTAAGTCATTAACCAAGACATCTATAGCTTGAATGGTGGATCTGCCAGAACGGTAGCCATATTGAGAATCACTAAACAAATTTGAGGATTCAAAAAAGTTACAAATTTGGTATTTTACTATTTTTTCATAGATCTTTGCAAATATAGGAATGCATGATATGGGTCTGTAACTCTGAGGCAAATCAGGGTTACCCTTTTTATAGATGTATTTTTTATGCGTTATTTTTTTTTATGCGTTATAGATGTATTTTATAGATGTATTATAGATTGTTATCTCTTCTCAATAAAATGTTCAATTTGCTCTTGGCAAGAAAACATTGTTATTTTGATTTTTTTAAGGCACTTAGCTGGGTTTATTATCTGTTATAAGTATGGCAAGTATGAGTACTCTTTTCATTCTTTCAACTCTTTCATTCGTAAATATACAGTAGAACCTCTTTAATCCGAACTAATTGGGACCGGGGGTAGTTCAGACTATTGAATAGTTTGGATTACAGAACATATTGTTGTCTTCACATAACAATAGCTAAAACAAGGCTAAAATGGATCGTAATTGTTATGGGAAAAGTTAAACAATGCTTTATAAAGTAAAATACAGTGTTTATTTAATGCAATAGTAAACATAGGGAATAAACAGTACTGTACATTAAATACAGTATACAATATAGAACTACTGTACTGTGTATAAAGTATAGCAATGAGGTGTTCTGATAAGTGGACGTTCGGATTACGAGGGTTCGGATTACGAGGGTTCGGATTAAAGAGGTTCTACTGTACCACTGCAGCTAACCTGGAGATCAAGTGAATGTCCAGTTTGCGGTAACTCACATTGAAGGACATAACTCTCTAATGACTTTGTGGTTTCAGGTGCCAGTTCTGCAATACTTGTACTATCTGACACAGATTGGCATAGCTATGTCTCCCCTGAGCAACAACTCTCTGTTCCTCAACTACCACCGCAACCCTCTCCCAGAGTACCTGGCTCGGGGCCTGTGTGTCAGCCTCTCCACCGATGATCCCCTTCAGTTCCACTTTACCAAGGTAACTCATCTTGACAATTTCATACATCTTGTATAACAATTTAAAATATTTTCATAAATATTCTCATAAATATTCTGTTTTCTCATAAATTATCACCATTTTCGAGTGTGGTAACAAGCTTAAAAATTGCTAACTGAGCACTCTGTATTTTATGATGTTTTTAGATGTAGATGCAGCTTTAAAGACTTTTTTATTCTTTATGTTATTTTACTAGCTGAAAATCGTTCAGGAGCTAAGGCATGTTAAACGTTGAAGTACCTAGGTGGTTCACCAAGTAATTTTGCATGTTTTGATAACACAGGAAAAATATTTAACCAGTTGATACTTCAGTTGAAATTAAATTAGAGAAAAATAACGTAATGCATGTGCAGATGATTGCAATCCCTATAAAATGAATACTAATAGTTCACTACATAATCAACAACAACAATATAAAAATGCATATAAAAATATTTACAATAGGCGTAGCTAATGGCTTATTATTAATGCAATATGCATATTGTAAGTGGCACAAGAGCTATTTTGCATATATTATCTTTCCTCCAGTGCATTTATTACAAAGCTTATGGTTTAGAACATGTGTGGCAGTAATAAGCCGCCCAGCTGTAGCAGAACCAAAGTTCTGTATAAACTTTAATTATTGCTTGTAACTTGTTGATAGTCTATAGACAAATGATCTTCTTGGTAAAATAGATCAATACATCCTTAAGTAGGCTATTTAGAAAAGATTTTTTGCACTTGTTTATAATGAAAATGCCAATTGCATACTCTTGGGCCTCAGTTTAGTAGTTGTTGTGTATAGGAACCCCTGATGGAGGAGTACAGCATCGCAGCGCAAGTCTGGAAGCTGAGTTCCTGTGACATGTGTGAGCTTGCCCGCAACAGTGTCATCATGAGTGGTTTCCCCCACAAGGTGATATCTTCATTTACATAATCTATGTCAATTTCCTTACATTTTATGCAGTTTTGGGATTGTTATCAATATTCTAAGCCCTGGGACTGGTTGTAGGGTTGACCTTTACATAGATACTAAAGGTCCTAGTGTTAAAGAATACTCATTGTTGACTGAAATATGAAATTATGAAGGGTAAAGATAAGGTTTCTAGATACCCGCTAACTCTTTCAATTGCAAAAAAAAACATAAGGACCATTCTACACGAGCGTGAAACCCACGACGAGATTCCCGCGTGAACACGCCAAAATTTTGTGCAAACTACACAGGGCAGGATCCCCGTCGGGTAGACGTGGGATGGGGGCGGTGGAGCTCGGTTTTTATAGCTGGAGTTGTCCAACTCAAACTATTAATTTGGACTAAGTTATTCTTTATTAGCAAATTTCCCCTTTAGGGAAGTAGCTATTACCGTAGATGGCACGGTAAGACCTAAGCCTGGGACCGATTTACTTTTTCATTTTGATCTCTCCAGAGGCCTAATGAATGTTCCCTTTAATAGGAAAGTACCGTAAAAGGTTTTAATAATGTGTGATACTGTAAATTGTTGCTAGAAAACCCTGAATGTAGGATACTATCCATTATCATAGTAATCTAAATGTATTACAAATTTAAATAATGGTTTAAATACAATTCTGAGAAGAAAACTAAAAAAATAGTGGTAGCCGAGTACCGTACTGATTTTGTACCGAAAACAGAGGTACAAAATATTGTACCGTACCGACCTTAAATTTTGTGTACCGCAGACCCCTACTAGTAAGTTAAAGTAAAAACGATTAGAGTGAAATTCTCTCAAAACAGGCAAGTCTTAAAAAAATTACATCTGCTTATCATTTGGATCCATGCAGGATTATTTCTGCCTGAATTGCCAAATCTGGCCAAAAATTAATAAAATGTCAATTGGTCGGGTTCAACCAGAACTTTTGGTTCACCAGATGACATTACCAAGCAAACGTAGAAAAAATAGCAATACAAAGAATATGTATGTAATGTCCCCATGTTTTCTCATGAAACTTGTTTTAGATGTTGATAGTTCTGTTCTGAGACAAACTGATAAGTTAAATTGATTAAATAGTTATATTATAATATCTATAAACATTATTTTAATATTTATTGCTTTATTAAAAACCATGAAATGCGATCGCTCTGCTCAACTGGCTTTCACTGCCAAGAAAGTAATCCTAGTATTTTTAACATTAAAAAGAAAATTTTTCAAAAATAATATTTTTTTTTTTTTGCTCAGTCATTGGCGAATCTGTAGATAACCAGATGCTTGGCCACTCCTATGGATTGATAAATATCTCCCAGACTTGATTTATTTAATCCTTACAGATGAAGCAGTACTGGCTGGGCCCTAACTACACCAAGGAGGGTGTCGCAGGCAATGACATCAGTCGCACAAATGTGCCAGACATCCGCGTGGCGTATCGCACCGAGACTCTGCTGGACGAACTCTCCAACATCTTCAAACACGTCGAGCATGAAACACATGAAACTGCATGAACGTCAAGTCATTATGTCCTTGTTTAACATTTACCAAATTACATTTATCTTAATCATAACCCAGGAATTTTCATAAATTGCTTTTAGGGATTTTTGTATTGATTTTTTTTATGTTTTTAAATAAATATTTTTGTTGACCCATCATATTTTAGTTAGGTGTAGTCAGTAGATGATTATTTTGCTTGAAAAAATAAATTAATATGACTGATAGTTGCACCGATTGAGAGAAATTGTCATTAATAGTCAATGATTAACATACTTAACTAACATTTTTATACTTCCCTTAGGGTAGGTTCTTGAGTCATATTTAATGTAGTGTAATGATAGTATTGAGGCTGTTCTGACATTTAAGATTGTGATAAATATAGAGCTCTATAACCAGAATATTTATTAATTATAAACGTTGTAACCATAACCATATACTATTAAAAAACCTATTTACCTTATTAACTATTGTACTTACATTTCTAAAATGTGTCTCTCTGAATATGTTTCTTTGATTTGTTCAAGAAGTAACAACATAGTTAATTATTATATTCTTGTGTTAGCAATTTGCAAGTGTAATCGGTTAAAACCGTTTTGCTTTAAATTTTTTTAGTTGAGGATAATATAAATTGTAATATACTGTCCGCGAGAGTAAAGAAGTCCCCTGAGCTATGGCCTTTTCGTAGTTTGAAGGCGTTACGCTTGAACGTTTCGCGCGACAATTAGAGCCGTCTTCACTCTGCTCTGATAGTTGTTAGGCTTAATTGTTGTATGTAATATCTGTATGTTTTTATAAATCTATGTCATAATATTTTTTTGCATCGTCATACAATCGAAGGACACCCAATTTCTAGTGTTACTGAGGCAAATTAATAACCTTTCTACTTTATGATTTTTGTTTAGTTAAATGTAACAATACCAATAAAATACAATACAATAAAATCCTTTTTAAAACCGAGTTTGAAAGCATTAATCCCAAATAATTAGTTGAATATACTTACGGTGAATGCATATTACCGGTACAAAATATAAGTACACGAGTACAGCAGTTTCAATAGCATTCATCAATAAACAACTTATTATTAAAGTTCTTAATCCTATTACCATAAACCTAAGCAAACAATCTAGAAAACAATTGTTAATATAGTATTTTACTTACAAATGCTGAAATTGTAAGAGTTTAATCGATGTTAACTTGCAAAGGTTGAATTTAAAACTATTTAATTTTTACAGTGATCTTTTTCAAGAGTGTACCATGAATTTTAAATTTTATTTAAATATTGTATACACATTATTTAAAAATATTAAGTTTTATTCTTTAAAATTAATTCTTTCTCTCAAAACAGGTGATAGTTTTTTACATGTATGGACAATTTTTTGTTCGTGTAAAAATTGCGTATTACATCTACGATTACACGCCTAACAAAGCTATCTATTTGTACTTTATGGTGGTCAGCCTTCTTGTGTTTTTTCCCTGGTGTACAGAGTTTTTCATTCGGAGTTTGTTTGCCGGCTTTTCTAATTCGTTTAATAGTATATTCTGACACTTTACAATAGTTTGCGGCACGTTCTGTTGCCTTTTCTATCGGCACTAATAACTTTTTGCCTTTACATTCGTTGTCACAACACTTGAAAACCCGTCTAATTAAATCCCTCTCTAGTAGCACCACGTTTTCTTAAATCCATAGCTACAAGGACCGTCCAAACAAAACAGAAATCACTACGCGAGAACACGAGACTGCACTAAATTAAATGACGTGACCACATGATGATCATCCACTTACCAAAACAAAGATATTAGTAATTATGTTTACAACAGTTGTTTACATACAGACATCGACAGTGGCGGCGATTGGGCTTGAGAGGTGGGGGGACGAAATCTAGATTTATTGTTGATATAATTCTATTTTATAATTTTGATAAATATTCCTTATGAAAGTGGGGGGGGGGGCAGCTGCCCCCCCTGGCTCCCCCTAAACGCCGCCTCTGGACATCGAGGCGAGGCGCCCGGATGCTTAGCGCCTGCAAATAGTGCGCGATACCCTCCAAAGATAGCTGCGTATCGCTCTGGCTCAAGGGACTTCTTTACTCTCGCGGATAGTAGTTGCTTTATGTAATGATTGTTCTCCAAAAAATAAGGAATAAGTTAAACATATGCATTACTATCCCTTGGTAAATTAGGGACCAAGGAATATTGATATTAGTTGTAATGTTGTAATAGTATAACCATAATTCAACTCGTAGACTGTATAACCATAAAGCCTGCCTACACTAAAAACCCATTTTGTTATTTTGAAAAATATATACAGAATTTAAGCATATATCAATAACAAAAACAATTAGCTTTATCCTATTTACATTATTTAATTAATAACATACATCTTATAAAATGCTTATATTTGTTAGCTTATCAGTATAAAATTTTGACCTAGTGTTAGATTTATGCAATGAAATAGGCTGATCACAGATCAAAATTCATTGTAGTAGCCCCGGAACAGTAATAATGACTAATGTTGGTTTTATATTACCTGTCGTCAACTCCAAATTGTTACTGTTGTCAATGTTACAGGTTTCAGCGAGCTGCCATTTTCAAGCATACAGTCCTGCCTGGAATGTACAAAAAAATCCCCTTGTATAGCTTTGTTGCTGGTTTACACACATGACACATAAATAAATAAGACTTTTAGTTGAATAGGCCTATCACGGGTACGAAATTGAAACATTGCCGTTACACGATCGGGAACAGAGTGTCAACGGAGGGTTCAATGAGCGCTATCTAGTTGAATTGTCTTCGTTATCAGTTGTGGTCAGCTGTTCAGATAGGTTTCCTTGTTGGAGTAGGGTGTTAAAAATAATATTCAATTTAAACTGTAGTTTATCGTTGAGGATATGGCTGTTGTGTTCTGAGTTATGTATTTATAAATTTCGAACTACTCCAAGACGTCCATTTTACTTCCTTTATAACAGTAATGTAGAACTTGTAGACCGGTGTAAATGTCATTCATATCGTGATTACTGTCAATGAGGTGTTGGGCAAATGTTGACTTCTGTGTGTCTGTTCTCGGATCTGGGCAGCTTTCTTTATAACGGGTCCATTTGTCCAATATAAAAACTGGGGCAGTCGGCAAAATTTATTTTGTGGATTCCTGTTGAGCTGGTTTTATCTAATTGTTTGAGATGGCTATAAGATAATACATGGAGTATTGATCTTCCCTTGAATTCTGTCAACAACATGACTGTGAGTAGTGACGGAAACACATACAACAGCGTGAATTCTTCAGTTTTAAGTCATCAACTCCAATTATCATTGGGTAAAAATATAAATTGATATTGCAAGTTAGCCTCAAACTGGCTCTCAGGGTTTTTTTTTACAGAGGGTCAGGCTTACAAGTGACCATGGGAACAGGTCCAAATTCTCCGTCAAATCCCAGGTCCTTAGTGAACCGTGAGAACCTTTTGACTATGGTAACCTGTTCTTCCCTTTGATCTCCCGTCAATAGGTCAAGGGTTCTCATACGCAGACCTTGTAGGGCTGGGCACATAAATACTGCTCCATTTGAGGTGGGGAAAAAACTCTGATACCTTCACAGTTTTCACAAGGTCTCTGGCTGGGGCAAGCTGTAGCGAGATTTCCCTGATGGGACTCAGCTTCTGAACTTGCTTGACCAGCCAATCCTTTGTGGCTGCGTTAGCACAGCCAACCACAAAGGCTCTGCCTTCAAGATGGCGGCTGATTATCCTGACGTCTTTGCCACGAATCACCAACCTGGACAGCTCCCCCTTGATTTTATTGGCTTTAGCCTCCGTCCGTTTCCAGTCCGGGTGTTCAGATTTGGCCATCTTCTCCACAGACAGTGTCTCCAAATAGGTGGATGCTGGTGCTCTCTGTCAGACACCCGAGCCCTCTCCATCTTTTGTCCTTGTCTTATTTTTCTCGCCCCAGACATCCTCATGTCTCAGGTACTCTTGCCCCCCTCTTTCCACCTTTCTTCCTGGAGGCTTCATTAGAGTCAGCTTTGGGGGTGCTGCCCTCGCCCTGTTTTTTTTTTTCAGCATCATGGTTCCCGGAGGAACTGGCTTTGCAGTGAGCCGAGTTATGGTGCTTGGCAGCCCACGCCAGCCTCCTCTCACTTCTGGATAGCACCTTTTCGCCTTTGGCTAAAGCATCCGCTATCCTCCGTCTTCGCAACTCGCCCCTGGAAAGTAGTTTTTTTTGTTCCTTTCCGGTTTCTGCGAGCTTGTCATCATAGTCAGATTTCAGTAGACTTACCTCCTACATTGGGGTCAGATCGTCTACGTTGTTCCCACGAATACCTGGTATCTGAGGTTCACCTCCCCAGTGACCAGATTAGAGAGGTAAGGGGTATATATGACTGGGTTCCCCCTGGTTCCCAGGAGGTTCTGTTAAGACACTGAATGTTAGGCTCCCAGTGCCAATAGACTCTCGGCGCGGATTGCATTACACCTTAGTCTAGGGCCCCCCCACTTGGTTCTGTAGGTTGACCAACACCCAACTCTGAGGTTCTCCCACTCACTAAACCCCCATATCTTCCTAGCTCTCAGGTTGATGTCTGGCAAATAATTTTTATTAACTTGGAAATAAAATTGTAGTGCTAAGCAAAGTATTTACTAATACTTGAACAGAACCGGTATGGATTTACAAACATAAACAAATGATGTTGCTGGCCTATACTAATAATAGCATTAACATATGATTTCGACAATTCCATATAAGCAATGTTAAATAATGTTTATTTTCCGGCCAGCAACGTCATTAGTTTATATTTATGATCCATACCGGTTCTGTTAAAGTATTCGGGGAAATCTGCATACCTGTACTCAGAACTAGGACTTATAAAATGTTAGTCTGGTAACCAAAGCCCAGCATGTTTGTTGGTTATTGTGACACTTAGATAAGTGTTTCCCAACCTTTTTCCCCGAGATAATAATTCACAATACAAAATATGTTGGGTACCACTTGGTTTTGTGAATGTTGTAATATGTTTTTCATCATACTGTATGGAAAACACCCGTTTTTAGTTATCTAAATCGTCCGCAAAATCATTGTTTTTGGGTACCTTCAAATAGGGAACAGAAAAAAATATATGGTAAATTTTTTGGTTCGCTAACCTCAAAATTCGCTTGAAAACGCTGCTAATTACACAATATATTTAATTATGTTTGTCAACAATAGAAAATAAACATTGATGACTACTTTGTTTAACCTCAAATTATGTGGTCTAATTTTGTAATGATTATAAAAGATTATTTCCACGGTATGATGAAAATAATTGTTCATCACATGGAGCGAATGTGTCGTGAACCTTTCCTGAGGAGGTTTTATACTTTCACCTTTGATGAATACCTTTGAGAAGTATTAAAGTCACTTGGTTTTTTTTTTTTTTTTTTTTAAACTTAGGAAATTATCTTGTCCTTGTTCCAATTTATTTTTGAATACTCACAGAGCTGATTGGCTGACCAACATCCCTTACAATCCTGACATATTACTCAACTAAACAACTAAACACCCACCACAGTGACCACAGGTGGGGAAACACTGACAGAGATGACATAATGTATTTGTGATTTCAGTAGCCACGTCACACAAGTCCTCCAAGTAAGACAGGGGTTTAATTTTCTTAAACTTTAAACAATAATTATATTTCAAAAACCTTTTCTTTATACTATATCAACTTTACTTCCTACAAGATCTAAATCCAAAACTGTGTTTTATGCTGATAAGCATTTGGTGTTCTATGTTATTAAATCATGCATGGGTTGTATGTAGAAATGTATAATCATTATTTTTATATATATATAAATCAATATATAATAAATATATGAAATAAATTATTGTTTGGAAATTCAATATTGTTTATTACCTTTTATTATACCTGTATTGTAAAGGTTTCTCTACAAATATGTAGTACTTCCCCTATACCACAGTACTGTAAGTTATATAGGGAAAGTATTGTTTTCGTCAAAATTTTTGAGATTGAGTTTTGACTGGATATATCCAATTTAGATATACACCATGTCGCGCTACGATCGTTTTTACACACTTCGAAACACACCAACATGGTTCATACGGTCAATGTGAGCTCTACCATTGTTCTGACTTCCGCCCTGCATTCCGTTGTTTTCAGCGTGTAATTATCAAATTTCTTGTGCCAGGATGCGATCCAGTTAGACTATATACATCGATGTTGTGTCAATACGCACTGAGGAGGGAGAAGGTAGCTTCGTCGTCAGCATAGCATTGTTGTAGTCTGTTGCGTTCTCCAGCTGTGTTTTTTGCTGGAATTAAAAATACCTCTACCGCAGCAAACCTGCAGACTAAGCGAATTTCATCTTGTCTGATTACATTTTAGCGAATTTCCCTATAGGGAAGTAGCTATTACCGTAGGTCTCATGGTAAGACCTAAGCCCGGGACCGATTTACTTTTTCATTTTGATGTCCCCAGAGGCCAAAAACACCATTCGTTCAAATTTTTATATATATATATATATATATATATATATATATGTGTCCATCCGCACGATAACTTGAGTAATTTTTGTCTGATTTTGATAAAATTTGGTTTGAAGGTGTAAGGCGGGATAAACTTGAATGAGTTCGCGAACCAGCAAAATCGGACTATGGGAACGGGGGTTTCCCATGTAGAAATCTAATTCTGGCCCAGGTTCTGGCCAGTACTGGTACAGTACTGGCCAGTACTGCTACAGTACTGGCCAGTAATACCCAGGTTCTGTCCAGTACTGCCCAGGTTCTGGCCAGTACTGCCCAGGTTCTGGCCCAGTACTTCCCAGGTTCTGGCCAGTACTGCCCAGGTTCTGGCCAGTACTTCCCAGGTTCTGGCCAGTAATGTCCAGGTCCTGGCCAGTACTGGTTAGAACCTGGACCAGAACCGGCCAGTACTGGCCAGAACTCACCAGTACTGGCCAGAACTCACCAGTACTGGCCAGAACTTACCAGTAACTGGCTAGCACTTGTAGATTCTAGACCAATAATCAATCTTGACAGAGTACAGTATGTAAATAAAGGAACCGATGTTAAGGTAATAAAATACAGATATTTGAAGTAAAAACTAGTCAATTAGTTAAACCTATATTTATTGAAAAATTAAGTTTAAAGCAAGACAAAATTTATAGGCCTACATGTTTAGATAATTTTCAAGGGTAAAAACTGTTACCATCAATAATATCGACTCAACTTGAACTCGCTCCCCCCCCCCCACCATGGTTTTAAAGTAAACCTCTCTGGATTTGGATCCAGTCCAGTTAGTCCAATTGAAGGTTTGGGTTTGGCAATGGCTTTGACCTTTGACCAATGAATACGAATACACAATTTAACGTTTTTTAAGCTCAACGCATCGCCAACAAAAATCTAACACAAGAGGACAATAATTAAGACGAGGACAAGACAGAAGTGAGAAGAGCAAAGACGAAGATAACTATTTTTTTTGTACGAGTTCCATTCCATTCCAAAATCAAATCCGATCCAATCCAACGTGACGCACGCCGGAGCGGAGCGGAGTTGTTACTAACTAACCTCAAATCTCAACCTGTCAGTTGGTCAGTTCAGTTTTGGTCTCGACATCTTTAATTCAGTTAATTTCTAACTAAGGTGTTCTTGTCTTAGTTATATCTTAATATTAATCGTAGAACAACGTTCTACCTAATTTGCTGTGAAAAATATCTATTCGTGTGGAATCAGAATGGATTATCGACAAAGAATCAGGTCGAACTTGGCAAACCATCAGGTTTATAGACAACTGAGTTCACAGGCCTCATTTTAGCAAAAAGTTGTAAGTAATGCACCACAGGTTTGCATAAGTGTCATATTATTAAGTTGTCATATTAAACTCATAATATGCCTTAATGTTGAGGTGGCTGTTAGGTTTAGTTTTTATGTGTCCAGTACCTAGTATAGGCCTAGGTAAACTTTAACTTAGGCCTACCTTATTCAGTGCAACAAAATAAACTAGCCTAGGCCTAGTTCCAATTTTAACGATTTTCTACTCATTGAAGTGTTAAATTTGGAGTTGTGAAGTATTTAGTCAGTATGTTACTTCATTATTTGATCTCACAAATTGTGTACGGTAGGCCTACGGTAAGTTTAGGCCTTGATAGCCTAGGCCTATGACTTGGCCTACAAGTAAAGCAAACCTTGATTGGATTTGTAAATTAATGATGAGATTCGATTGCAATTAAGTCAATTTTTAGTACCGGTAGCCTAACTTTTGTTCAGCGTAGGTTCCGTTTGGGGCTACATTTGGGTACAGTTTCCGATTGAAACTATCAAATGGAAAATATTGATTAATAATCGATTTTGAAATATATCTAGGCCTATTTTATAATTAAACTATCATGACCTAACCTAACCAACCAATCTTGCTGATGGTGAAAAAATCGCATGAAGGCTTACTAATCGAATCGATAGTTTCAATCAATATTAGCATAGCCCAGTTAAGAAACTGTACCCGCCTACTTAACTTATGCCTAGATCAAAAGTAACTTAGGCTTAAACATCAAAATGCAAAACTACCTAATGAATAAGTTAGAGCCTACACAAAAACATTGTTTTTCATTTGAATGGGCGGCTATTTTTATTCACAGATTGTTTCGTTAAGTAAGTTATCTTAGGCCGGACTAACTTAACTTAACTTGATGTTTGGTTATGTTTGCTGTTGTATTTTATAATAAGAAGCCTACTAAGTTAGCCCTGATTATGTAAATAATATGATAAATAGGTCTTAGCTTAAGTGCTAAGGTAGGCCTAAGGCAGAGAACCCATGATGGGTTACAAACGGATTAAATATTAAAATAGTCTACTTCGATATAACTTAGGCCTAACTATCGATTAACATGTTTCAATCGATATAAATATTGAATTTCAATATTGATTTTCGTTTACAGTAAGTTATGGCGTTTAGGTTAGGTTACCTACCTAGTTTAGTTTTTGAAACTTATTAAAAAACTATATGAATAGGCCTACAAATTGATGTCTTTGTGATTGCAATCTGTTAAACAAACCAAAGTAATATCAACTCTAATACCTACCAACAATTTTACTTTGATTGCTACTATCATAAACTAAACTAAAACAACCTAACCGCCGCAGAATGTGTGGAAAAAGTCTTCTTGAAACAACAATATTGATACAATTGTTACAATGGATATTTACATGAAAGCAAACTCATCCGATACAATATAACTACAGAATATAGTAGGTTCTCTACGGAACTGCACCCTAGGAAGTGCCAACATGAAAAAAGTACGGTAACAAGAAAGATAGGCTATAACATTTTTTTTGAGTCTTTTTATTTTAAGTCCCTATAACTGAGTATTTAAGTAGGCCTACCTATTTAACTTTATTTATGGCCTTTGAAATGATTTTTCATTATACTTATATAAGTTACGTAGCCTATTACAGTAAAATTTTAAGATGGCCGCTTAAGTTAACCTGAATTGGGATAAAACTAGATTACCTATTAGGTCCTATATTGATTCTAAATTGTGTAGGCCTATTGCCAGGTTATTTTACAAAATCAAGTTTTAATTCGATTATTGAGATATGTACAATCTCATTTCTATTCAATATAAATATAGCCTAGCCCGCATTAGGAACTGTGCAGCTTATGCGGCTATACATTAAAAATAATGGAGTTGTTCAAGTCTGCACATGTACATTGAAAGCGAATTAGCCCAAACTTAAAGACAACCCAACATAAAGGCCAAGCTGAGCTCTGGAGATACAAATATAGGTACTTACATCAGCTCACCATTTTTTATAGTTGTAACTTGTCTGTTTCAGGTAAAAAAACTTTATGACAACTACTGTACTACATTTATATTCTAAAGACCATTGTGCTAATACTATAAATCTGACATTATTAATTTTATTAATAATTATAACCCCGACAAATTAGATTCATTGGATATTTTGATTGTTTAATTTTTTACATTTTCAATATAAAATTAAATTTAGTATTGTAGGGTATTATCAATAGTATTCTTTTTGGTGATTTTACTTTTTCATACAACTTTTATTGTAATTTTGCAAAAAAATAATTTATTACCTAACCTTGATTTTTGTTAACATAATTTGTATTTTAGCATATGTAATTTTCAAATACAAATTGTTTATTGCTAAAGGTGTCTTATTAATTCATCTTTCATATTGGTTCAATTCTCACTACTGTATGATCCAGATACTGGTCCAGTATTGGCCAGGTTCTGGCCCAGTACTACCCAGGTTCTGGTCCAGTAATGCCCAGGTTCTGGTCCAGTCCTTCCCAGGTTCTGGCCCAGTACTACCCAGGTTCTGGCCCAGTACTGCCCAGGTTCTGGCCCAGTACTGCCCAGGTTCTGGCCCAGTACTGCCCAGGTTCTGGCCCAGTACTGCCCAGGTTCTGGCCCAGTACTGCCCAGGTTCTGGCCCAGTAATGCCCAGGTTCTGGCCAGTACTGCCCAGGTTCTGGCCCAGTACTTCCCAGGTTCTGGCCCAGTACTTCCCAGGTTCTGGCCAGTACTGGCCAGTTCTTGCCAATTTTGGAAGTGCCCAGAACCTGGGCCAGAAAATTTTTTTACTGGCCCAGAAAATTTGTTTCCACATGGGTTATGGGGGGTTTTATGGGGTAAAAATAGGTTTTTCCCATTTTTGACCCTAAAAACACGAAATTTCACAATTTCATTCTAAACCATTTTGTAGAGCTTAAAAAAACAAATAATTTAGTATATTGAAGCGTTATTATGCGCCTAATTACTACGGAGAAAATTCAAAAAATTGTAATTTTAAAATTCCCATGTTATTCTTATGGAGAATAAGTAACTGTTGTAGTTTTCTTGTTTATGAACATATTTTGA